CTATAGGCAGTCTCACAGTTCTCATTCCTTTCTCCCACCAGATGAATGGTTTCCATTTGTCTAACCAGGCTAACCCTAGGACCACCGCCTCAGTCATTTTTGGAGCTACCAGGAAGCGAATAAACTCCCAATGTGCACCTATTTCTAGGCGTAAGGGCTCGGTTAATTGTGTGACAAAAGTCCCTCCCATCAGGGAGCCTTCGGCTTGCTCAAACCTCACCGGTTCGGAAAGCTGTTTTGCCCGTATGCCCATTTTTATTGCAAACTGCCGACTAATGATGCAGCGGGTGCATCCAGTGTCAATTAGTACATTTAAGTCCATTTGTGCCCCAGTCTTAGGGATTATAAGCTTGGCGGCCAGTGAAAAAGACGGGATTAGTTGACTCACCATCGGATCGTTCTCTCCTTCATCGTCGCTGTCAAAGGAGGGTAGATCAGGGGCGGGTCCAACTGGAGTCCCAGTGTTCTCCTGCGTGAGCCGGTTGGATTTTTCTCTCGTTAGCCGCTGAGCAGGCTTCTTTCGCCTTGCTGATTCTGGTCCGCTCTGCCATCGGGGGTAGGGGATTGGACAGGTGGCCGCTCGATGTCCTTCTTGTCCACACCGGAAACACGTGAAGGAAGGGCGTGTCGGTGGCCTGGGTCTTTCAGCCAGTGTCGTAGTTGAGGGTTTTCGTGGGGGTGATTGCTGTCCGGGTAACTCTGGTTGCTGCTCGGGTTCGTGTGGGGGAGGCTTCTTATAGCGAGAGAGCTTAATGTCTAGCTTCACTGCTGTCTGGTACTACTCATGTAGCTGATCAGGTACCTCTCGATATATGCAAGCTTGAGAGAGGTGATCGTCCAATCCCTCAACAAAGTATTGAACCAGGGAATGTTCGGACCACCCCTCTGTTCGGCCTGCTAATTTGCGGAATTCCCGTACATATTCCAGGGCAGGCCTTCCGGCTTGTCTTATTTTGTGAATTTGTCTTGCCGCTTTGAGGCCTATGGATGGGTCCTCAAATC